TACGACTACACAACTACACTCCACTACACGAAATATCACGAAATTTCACTACACTACACTACATTACACTACACTACACTACATTCCACTACACTCCACTACACTACATTACACTACACTACATTACACTGAATGACACTGCACCACAGATAGACAGGTAGACAGATAGACAGATAGATAGTCAGACAGGTAGACAGCTAGACAGATAGACAGATGAAAGAGAGATAGATAGATAGATAGATAGGTAGATAGATAGATAGATAGAGAGAGAGATAGATAGATAGATAGATAGGTAGATAGATAGATAGATAGGTAGATAGGTAGATAGGTAGATAGGTAGATAGGTAGATAGGTAGATAGGTAGATAGGTAGATAGGTAGATAGGTAGATAGGTAGATAGGTAGATCAGATAGGTAGATAGGTAGATAGGTAGATAGGTAGATAGGTAGATAGGTGGATAGGCAATTAGATGAAAGAGAGAAAGAGAGAGATAGATAGATCGATAGATAGATAGATACATAGAAGATAGGCTGGTAGGTAAGTAGATAGTCAGAGAAAGAGAGAGAAAGAGAGGAGACCTCAAGCACCTTTCGGTCCATCAGTGGATTCGCTTTGCCATCCCTGATTCACAACAACCAACCTCTCCTATAGGTTTCCTATTTTTGAAACTTCCGCCACCGCCTTGTGCGGTACTACTGGTATACATGAAATATGCTGTACCATTTTTACATGTAAAGAGACTGATGTAAATCCTTCTGGACCCATATGTTGTACACCCTCCACCCGCCCATGAAGTCATAGCTTTGTCGTTTGCCAAGAAATGTTGACGAACTTCGCTTGGACTCCGCACTTCCAATCATGTGCCACTTGTGCTCCGCACATGCAGCCCTGCACAGGGCACAGGCGCCGTTCTTCTCACCATCATCGTTCCACGTTATGAAACATGATGAAACATGATGAAACACGATGAAAAATGTATATCAACACGGATATCCACTTGTTTTCATGTTCCAAAATATAGCAGACTTGTTGGGCAAGTCCCAGGAATATCCTGGTTGTTATTTGGGGCTGCGCGCCATTGAAACCCGTCAAAGTAGATCTTGGTATCTGCAAGGATCGAGCCCTTGGCACCTCCGGCGATAGATTATGCGACAAATCTCTGCCCTGGGCGGTCAAAACAGGCAGAAAAGGGCGAGTTGAACGGGTTGAACCAACAGGAACCGGTATAGAAATTCACCAAGAAAGGGATGTGAACCAACCCAATATGAGGATATTTAAGACCCCAAAAAAGATTGGGACATGAACATCAATGGAATTTCACTCCAAAAAAATTGGTGTCCGCGCCGAAAAGATTGGATTCCAACTGGCATCCCGAGCAGCGAACTTCTGCGATGCCATGGACGGTCATCGATGTTCACACCTGACCGCCGCTTCCCAGGGAAACATCAACACATCTGAAAGTTTGGCCAAATTTGGGGCGGGGGGTCTCAAAAACCGGTAAAAAAAACAAATTGAACACACCGCCACTTGCGGATTGCCAGGACTTGGGAACCCATTTTTTCATCAATCGTATCTTGCCACAACAGGATGTCAAGGGTGGTACTATGCACCACCACCACCACCACCACCACAAATGTCACCGCCATCTGAGGCTGCTATTCCAGTGCAGTTCTAACATGTTCTAACATGCAGCAAGATGTTTAACACCTTTCATCATCTTTCAGCCAAAAGAATGGCGTCTTCCCATGGATTTCCTACCGCATCTTCGCCTCAAAGCACAGCCATGTGTTGAGCACCTGACATCGGGAACCACGAGATCTTGGAGGTGTGAACAGGTGTGAACAATCGAACATGGGGGATTTAACATGCTGTTTCATGCTGTTTCATCCTGAAATGGTGGCATATTGGCTGATTCATCTTTCACTTTCAAGAGACCCCAAAATGAAGAAATCCCACACTCAACCGGGATTTTCTCTATTTGAGGGAAGGGATTGATCAATAAACCCCGCTGTTGATTTTCAAACACTTGTCATCGCCAAACTGAGTAGCGCCTTGACACAAATAGCTGGACGGCTAGATATTCCACACCGAAAACATTGTGAAAATACACATGGAGGAATATTCTCGTTCAATCCCAAGCCTCAAATCAAACAGCTTTTTTGGGGGATACATTGGATACATCAGTTTCAGGAATTTCTGCCTCGTCTCTCATCTGAATCATAGTGAATCAGTCTGGATGACGTCCTTGAGTCCGGAAAAGTTTGGAAAGGTTTATGAACTGCACTATTTCAGGGCAGAAGGTTATGAACTGTTGAACTCCCAAAGAAAGAACTGGAAGAATAGATCGGGAGGGATCGATATCCATATCGATTTTTTCCAATATTCCAACTATTTCAGGGGTTGCAACAACTGCACCTAGATTCTAGATGAAGACTGCACTTTGTTGATGATCTGGTGCATTTTTCAGTTCCTTTTTCAAAATGATGGATCCCTAGTCATCTCCAAAACGAATGTGAAAAGAAAGCGAATGACCACCAAAGTTGGCAAAGGATAGTCAGCTTCCATCATATTTTTTTTGTAGTCCACGTTTTTGCTGACATCAGTCATCTTGTCCAAAGGCAAGATTTCAGTTGTCTTCTGCCACGCAAACCCTTTCGACAATCTTAACATGATCGCTTAAACAGGTCCGCGAATGCAAAAACTGCAATTAAATGCATTGATGATGTAGAAAATGATGATGTCACTTCATTCTCTGCATGGCTCTGCGCAAGTACTTTACATCTGCAGCTTTTTGGCTTCAGGCGCCAGTCCGCTGAACATCACCTACTTTAGCAAATTTCCAAGCCGTGCTGATATTTGAGCACTTGCAGCTTCTTCTGGCATGCACTGCTCCAGTAAAATATTCCCAGAGACTTTCGGATTTGCCAATTTTTCGACAACATTTGTCGGAAGGACTACAGCTCAGAACTTTGCCGAGCAAATAAAATCGTTCCGCCAACGCACGAGGCATGGCCACCCATAAATCAGAGAGAAGTGCCACATTACCATTGGAGATCCACTCGGGAACCCAAGCTAAAAGGTGCTTTAGACGGGCCATGCGATATCGCAAATCCGGGCGGGTTAAAATTACCACTTCGAACCTTTGACCGCGGGCTTCTTCAAATCGCATCATCATCTCAAGGCTACTAATGACGTGCGTGAGCTGATTAAGGCCACGTAGGAAGTGCTGACGCTTTGCGAAGAAGGCGACACGATTGGTGAATTCGAAACATTCCTGGGGGAAAAAAAAAACCTGAGAAGGGGGGAACGAAAGCCAGCATCCCATCTACCCCTATTTTCCCCCATATTTTTCACCCAGGGGCTCTTCACCCAGAAACCCTTCTTGCACATACTTTTCACCGATATACTTTTCACCCAGAGACTCTTCACCCAGAAACTCTTCTTGCACATACTTTTCACCCATATACTTTTCACCCAGAGACTCTTCACCCAGAAACTCTTCTTGCACATACTTTTCACCCAGAAACTCTTCACCCAGAAACTCTTCTTGCACATACTTTTCACCCATATACTTTTCACCCAGAGACTCTTCTTGCACATACTTTTCACCCATATACTTTTCACCCAGAGACTCTTCACCCAGAAACTCTTCTTGCACATACTTTTCACCCATAGACTTTTCACCCACAGACTCTTCACCCAGAAACCCTTCTTGCACATACTTTTCACCGATATACTTTTCACCCACAGACTCTTCACCCAGAAACTCTTCTTGCACACCCATAGACTTTTCACCCAGAGATTCTTCACCAAGAAACTCTTCTTGCACATACTTTTCACCCAGAGACTCTTCACCCAGGGGATTCTTCACCCCAGAAACCTTCTTGCACATGACTTTTAACCCATATACCTTTCACCCAGAGACTCGTGGCGCGAAACTCTTATACAAAATATCTTCACCCACATACTTTTCACCCACAGACTCTTCACCCAGAAACCCTTCTTGCACATACTTTTCACCGATATACTTTTCACCCAGAGACTCTTCACCCAGAAACCCTTCTTGCACATACTTTTCACCCATAGATTTTTCACCCACAGACTCTTCACCCAGAAACTCTTCTTGCACATACTTTTCACCGATATACTTGTCACCCAGAGACTCTTCACCCAGAAACTCTTCCTGCACATACTTTTCACCCATATACTTTTCACCCACAGACTCTTCACCCAGAAACTCTTCCTGCACATACTTTTCACCCATATACTTTTCACCCAGAGACTCTGCACCCAGAGACTCTTCACCCAGAAACTCTTCTTGCACATACTTTTAACCCAGAAACTTTTCTTGCACATATTTTTCATCCATATACTTTTCACCCAGAGGCTCTTCACCCAGAAACTCTTCTTGCACAGACTTTTTACGCAGAGACTCTTCACCCAGAAACCCTTCTTGCACATACTTTTCACCCATATACTTTTCACCCAGAGACTCTTCACCCAGAAACTCTTCTTGCACAAATTTTTCACCCAGAGACTCTTCACCCAGAAACTCTTCTTGCACATACTTTCACCCAGAGACTCTTCACCCAGACACCCTTTTTGCACATACTTTTCAACGAGATACTTTTCACCCAAAGACTCTTCACCCAGAAACTCTTCTTACACATACTTTTCACCGATATACTTTTCACCCAGAGACTCTTCACCCAGAAGCCCTTCTTGCACATACTTTTCACCCATATACTCTTCACCCAGAAACTCTTCTTGCACATACTTTTCACCGATATACTTTTCACCCAGGGACTCTTCACCCAGAGACTCTTCACCCAGAAACTCTTCTTGCACATACTTTTCACCGATATACTTTTCACCCAGAGACTCTTCACCCAGAAACTCTTCTTGCACATACTTTTCACCCATATACTTTTCACCCACAGACTCTTCACCCAGAAACCCTTCTTGCACATACTTTTCACCCATATACTTTTCACCCAGAGGACTCATTCACCCAGAACTTTCTTGCAACATACTTTTCACCCATATATACTTTTCACCCAGAACTCTTCACCAGAAGAACTCTTCTTCACAGACTCTTCACCCAGAAACTCTTCTTGCACATACTTTTCACCCATATACTTTTCACCCAGAGACTCTTCACCCAGAAACTCTTCTTGCACATACCTTTCACCCATATACTTTTCACCCAGAGACTCTTCACCCAGAAACTCTTCTTGCTCATACTTTTCACCAATATACTTTTCACCCAGAGACTCTTCACCCAGAAACTCTTCTTGCACAGACTTTTCACCCAGAGACTCTTCACCCAGAAACTCTTCTTGCACATACTTTTCACCCATATATACTTTTTACCCAGATACTTCACCCAGAAACTCTTCTTGCACATACTTTTCACCCAGATACTTTTCACCCAGAGACTCTTCACCCAGAAACTCTTCTTGCACATACATGTCACCCATATACTTTTCACCCAGAGACTCTTCACCCAGAAACTCTTCTTGCACATACTTTTCACCCATATACTTTCCACCCAGAGACTCTTCACCCAGAGACTCTTCTTGCACATACTTGTCACCCATATATTTTTCACCCAGAGACTCTTCACCCAGACACTCTTCTTGCACATACTTTTCACCCATATACTTTTCACCCAGAGACTCTTCACCCAGAAACTCTTCTTGCAAATACTTTTCACCCGCATATACTTTTCATCCAGATACTCTTCATCCAGAAACTCTTCTTGTACATAGTTTTCACCCACAGACTCTTCACCCAGAAACTCTTCTTGCACAGACTCTTCACCCAGAGACTCTTTACCCAGAAACTCTTCTTGCACATACTTTTCACCCATATACTTTTCACCCAGAGACTCTTCTTGCACATACTTTTCACCCATATACTTTTCACCCAGAGACTCTTCATCCAGAAACTCTTCTTGCACATACTTTTCACCCATATACTTTTTACCCAGAGACTCTTCACCCAGAAACTCTTCTTGCACATACTTTTCACCCATATACTTTCCACCCAGAGACTCTTCACCCAGAAACTCTTCTTGCACATACTTTTCACCCATATACTTTTCACCCAGAGACTCTTCACCCAGAAACTCTTCTTGCACATACTTTTCACCCATATACTTGTCACCCAGAGACTCTTCACCCAGAAACCCTTCCTGCACAAATTTTTCACCCATATACTTTTCACCCAGAGACTCTTCACCCAGAAACTCTTCTTGCACATACTTTTCACCCATATACTTTTCACCCAGAGACTCTTCACCCAGAAATTCTTCTTGCACAGACTTTTCACCCAGAAACTCTTCTTGCACATGCTTTTCACCCATATACTTTTCACCCAGAGAATCTTCACCCAGAAACTCTTCGTGCACATACTTTTCATCCATATACTTTTCATCCAGAGACTCTTCACCCAGAAACTCTTCTTGCACATACTTTTCACCCATATACTTTTAACCCAGAGACTCTTCACCCAGAAACTCTTCTTGCACATGCTTTTCACTCCTATACTTTCCACCCAGAGACTCTTCACCCAGAAACTCTTCTTGCACATACGTTTCACCCATATTCTTTTCACCCAGAGACTCTTCACCCAGAAACTCTTCTTGCACATACTTTTCACCCATATACTTTTCACCCAGGGACTCTTCACCCAGAAGCTCTTCGTGCACTTACTTTTCACTCATATACTTTCCACCCAGAGACTCTTCACCCAGAAGCTCTTCTTGCGCAGACTTTTCACCCAGAAACTCTTCACCCAGAAACTCTTCTTGCACATACTGTTCACCCATATACTTTTCACCCAGACTCTTCACCCAGAAACTCTTCTTGCACATACTTTTAACCCAGAAACTTTTCTTGCACATATTTTTCATCCATATACTTTTCACCCAGAGGCTCTTCACCCAGAAACTCTTCTTGCACAGACTTTTCACGCAGAGACTCTTCACCCAGAAACCCTTCTTGCACATACTTTTCACCCATATACTTTTCACCCAGAGACTCTTCACCCAGAAACTCTTCTTGCACAGACTTTTCACCCAGAAACTCCTCTTGCACAGACTTTTCACCCATATACTTTTCACCCAGAGACTCTTCGCCCAGAAACTCTTCTTGCACATACTTTTCGCACATATACTTTTCACCCAGAGACTCTTCACCCAGAAACTCTTCTTGCACATACTTTTCACCCAGAGACTCTTCACCCAGAAACTCTTCTTGCACATACTTTTCACCCATATACTTTTCACACAGAGACTCTTCACCCAGAAACTTTCTTGCACATACATATACTTTTCACCCCGAGACTCTTCACCCAGAAACTCTTCTTACACAGAATTTTCACCACATACTTTGCACCCATGGGCTCTTCACCCAGAAACCCTTCTTGCACATACTTTTCACCCATATACTTTTCACCCAGAAACTCTTCTTGCACATACTTTTCAACCATATACTTTTCACCCAGAGACTCTTCACCCAGAGACTCTTCACCCAGAAACTCTTCTTGCATAGATTTTTCACCCAGAGACTCTTCACCCAGAAACTCTTCTTGCACATACTTTTCACCCATAAACTTTTCATCCAGAGACTCTTCACCCAGAAACTCTTCTTGCACATACTTTTCACCCATATACTTTTCACCCAGAAACTCGTCACCCAGAAACTCTTCTTGCACAGACTTTTCACCCAGAAACTCTTCTTGCACATGCTTTTCACCCGTATACTTTTCACCCAGGGGCTCTTCACCCAGAAACTCTTCTTGCACATACGTTTCACCCATATACTTTTCACCCAGAGACTCTTCACCCAGAAACTCTTCTTGCACATACTTTTCACCCATATACTCTTCACCCAGGGACTCTTCACCCAGAAACTCTTCTTGCACATACATTTCACCCAGAAACTCTTCTTGCACATACATTTCACCCATATACTTTTCACCCAGAGACTCTTCACCTAGAAACTCTTGTTGCACAAACCTTTCGCCCATATACTTTTCACCCAGGGACTCTTCACCCAGAAACTCTTCTTGCACATACTTTTCACCCATATACTTTTCACCCAGAGACTCTTCACCCAGAAACTCTTCTTGCACATACTTTTCACCCATATACTTTTCACCCAGAGACTCTTCACCCAGAAACTCTTCTTGCACATACTTTTCACCCATATACTTTTCACCCAGAGACTCTTCACCCAGACACTCTTCCTGCACATACTTTTCACCCAG